GTCACTTTCGATTTTGTTTAATGCGGTTATAAACCTGTTCATAGTGCTTGCAAACCTGTTGTAAAGTGGTCGACTTTTTTTCTAAGTTCTCTTCCTTTTGTGTCTCTCCAGATGATGGTAATGTTTGGAGACCATCCACCTGATGTACAGGTCACATTCACCTGCTCTCCAGCTTCAGTGCAGGACAGGACAGGAGGAGATCCAACCACTAGAGGATTGATTAGAGTATTTACACTGATCAGGCATAACATTATGACCACCTCCTTGTTTCTACGCTCATTGTCCATTTTATCAGCTCCACTTACTATATAGGTGCACTTTGTAGTTCTACAGTTACAGACTGTAGTCCATCTGTTTCTCTGATACTTTGCATACTCAGACACACTGCTGTGTCTGATCCACTCAGACCAGCGCAACACACACTAACACACTACCACCACGTCAGTGTTACTGCAGTGCTGAGAATTATCCACCACCCAAATAGTACCTGCTAGGGTCCATGGGGGTCCTGACCACTGAAGAACAGGGTAAAAGGGGGCTAACAAAGTATGCAGAGAAACAGATGGACTACAGTCTGTAACTGTAGAACTACAAAGTGCACCTATATAGTAAGTGGAGCTGATAAACTGGACAATGAGTGTAGAAGCAAGGAGGTGGTCATAATGTTATGCCTGATCGGTGTAAGTTGGGCTTGTTCATTATTTTACACTGAATTGTACAACACTGTGTAAAAACACTGTAGCTACATCAAAACATAAGCAACAATTTTATTTTTACATAGTAAATTTGGTAACAATTCAGAATTATACTATATATGAGTGGTACCAAGACAAGTGATAAGAGCCATGTCTGTTCAACCTAGTGACAGATCAAGGTTAACCAAAACACCCTGATGAGGGCTTCTGTTCATGTGTTAAACCATGTCTTTACCTGGAACAGCAACGAAAATGCTCTCCTTTTCATACCATTGATAACTGCTAACAAAGCACACATATTCTCCTCTGTCTGCTACTGTGAGGTTCTCCAGTTTCAGAGAGACGTTCCCTTTCTGCAGTTCTCCAATCAGAGACGCTCTGCCTCTGTACTGAGGATCTCCAGCGTTCTCCTGGACCTTTAGGTCTCTGTACAGCAGAATCGGGTTGTCATTGTCATTGGGACCATACCAGCGTATTTCATAGTCCGTACAGTCCAATGAAGAAGAGACTGCGCACGGCAGGACAACTGAAGATCCTAACTGTCCTGATACAGCACCATCAGGAACCACCAGAGAGAATGTATCTAAAAAGAAAAACAGATTATAAATGACGTGTGAATTGTAAATATTCAGCATATATTTTGGATGGAAATTCTAAGACCTTGTTTAAACCTGGTCTTGAGTGTCAGGATTATAGCTGGATATAGATCATCCACGTAAAAATGCAGGTATAAACGCACCCAAGACACATTTAAGACAATGTAAACAAATGTGATCGCTCAATCGGATTTAACTTTGGGAAGCGGTCTGAGACGCACTTTATCCAGATGTTATACTAGTGTAAATGAATCTGTCTCTCCAAGTCACCTCCAACAACCAAATCCCCTCCCAACACTATGACATCCCTCAGCTGTTCTATGGGGAAAAGACCTACTGAGCTGCCGTCACTATACAAAGGCACCGCTGCTCCTTCAGTTCATCTCTTAACATTCAGCTCTTCAGTTTCTTCTCTCATTCAGTTGCATTCAGAGGACTAAGCTGGTCAAAATAAAGCACTAGTTTAGTTAATCTTTACTAGCTTCGTTATTCAGTGTCTTGGGACATTGCGCAACGCACATTGCCTGTAACGATTAATCTTAAAATCACAATTTCAAGAGTATAATATTTGTATTGCAAGGGCTGCAATTTTTTATTAAATCCTACTTTATTAAACAAACAATGTCCAGTTTTAAGTGAAGAAATGTAACCTAACTATGCAGAGGTCAGTTGGCACATTACATTCAGAGATCAAGTCTCAAGTACACTTCTTGGCAAAAAAAAGAAACTTAATTTATAGGAAATAATCACATTTACAACCCCATTTCCATAAAAAAGATGTAAAGCTGTGCAGAAAAATAGAATGAAATGATATGCAAATCGTGTAAAATCATGTTTTTAAAGGAGCTTCTCAACAGCTCTGGATCTCTTTTGTTGCATTTTTCATTTCATAATGTGGCAAATGTTATCAGGGGCTGACAGGTCTGGACTGCAGGCAGGACAGTTTAGCACCCGGACTCTTTTAATACGGAGCCATGCTTTTGTAATATATGCAGAATGTGGTTTTACATTGTCCTGCTGAAATAATCAAGGCCTTGTGTGAAAAAGACGCTGTCTGGATGTCTTCCTCCAGCTTATTCCCGGGGACCCCAAGCTGCTCCCAGGCCATCTTGGAGATAGCGGGTCCTAGGACGACCCCGGGGTCTTATTCCGGTAGGCCGTGCCTAGTACACCCCCACCGGGAGGCGTCCAGGGGGCATCCGGATCAGATGCCCGAACCACCTCAGCTGGCTCCTCTCAATGCAGAGGAGTAGCGGCTCTACTCCGAGCTCCTCCCGGATGGCTGAGCTCCTCACCCTATCAAATAGAGTGTAGCCCGCCACCCTGCGAAGAAAGCTCATTTCCGCTGCTTGTATTCGCGATCTCATTCTTTCGGTCACAGCTCATGACCATAGGTGAAGGTCGGGATGTAGACCGATCGGTAGACCGAGTGGCTCACCACTACAGTCCGGTACAGCGACTGCATTACTGCTGCCGCTTGTCCCAGCCTGCGGTCGATCTCACGATCCTTCTTCCCATCACTCGTGAACAAGACCCCGAGATACTTAAACTCCTCCACCTGGGGCAAGTCCTTTCCCCTTACCTGGAGTGGGCATACCATCCTTTTCCGGGCTAAGATCATGGACTCAGACTTGGAGGTGCTGATCTGCATACCAACCGCTTCACACTCAGCTGCAAACCGCTCCAGTGCGCGCTGGAGGCATCCATGTGATCCAGCCAAAAGAACCACATCATCTGCAAATAGCAGAGACGCCACCCTCCGGCCTCCACACATAATGCCCTCCTGACCCCGGCTATGCCTTGACACGCTGTCAATGAATATCACAAACAGGAGTGGAGACAGGGCACAACCCTGGCGGAGTCCAACGCTAACACTGAAAGAGTCCGACTTAATGCCAAGTATAAGAACACAGCTCTTACTCCGGGTGTGCAGAGATTGAACGGCCTGGAGTAGTAACCCCGGCACCCCATACTCCCGCAAGATATCTCGGGGAACACGGTCGTAAGCCTTCTCCAAATCCACAAAACACATGTAGACAGGGTTGGCAAACTCCCATGCCCCCTCAACAATCCATGAGAGGGTGAAAAGCTGGTCCATTGTTCCACGGCCAGGACGGAATCCGCATTGTTCCTCCTCAATCTGAGGTTCAACTATCGGTCGAAGTCTCCTTTCTAGCACCTTGGCATAGACTTTCCCAGGGAGGCTGAGTAGTGTGATACCCCGATAGCTGGCACACACTCTCCGGTCCCCTTTCTTGAAAATAGGGACCACCACCCCGGTCTGCCAGTCCAAGGGTACTGTTCCCGAGGTCCATGCACTATTGCAGAGGCGTGTCAGCCACGACAGCCCCACAATATCCAGAGCCTTGAGCATCTCTGGACGAAGCTCATCCACCCCTGGTGCCTTGCCACTGAAGAGCTTGCCAACTACCTCAGTGACCTCCACCAGGGAAATGGAGCTTGACACGCCAGAGGCCTCTGGCCCTGACTCCCATGAGGGAGGCATGTCTCCCGGATTAAGGAGCTCCTCAAAGTGCTCTTTCCACCGACCGACAATATCCTCATTTGAAGTCAGAGTTTCTCCACCCCTGCTGAATACAGCCTGGGCGCAGCCACCCCGACCGCTCCTGAGTCGCCGGAAAGTTGTCCAGAATGGAGGTTTTGAACAGGGTCCATTCAGACTCTATGTCCCCTACCTCCTCCGGGACATGAGAAAATCTCTCCCGGAGGTGGGAGTTAAAATCATTCCAAACAGGGGCCTCCGACAGTCGTTCCCAGCACACCCTCACTATTTGCTTGGGCCTACCGGGTCTAACCCTCAGTCTTCCCTGCCATCTGATCCAACTCACCACCAGATGGTGATCAGTTGACAGCTCAGCACCTCTCTTCACCCGAGTGTCCAGAACATATGGTCCCAAATCAGATGAAACGACAACAAAGTCAATCATTGACCTTTGACCCAAGGAGCTCTGGTACCATGTACACTTATGAACATCCTTGTGTTCGAACTTGGTGTTCGTTATGGACAATCCATGCCTGGCACAGAAGTCCAATAACAATTCACCATTCGGGTTTAGATCGGGCAGGCCGTTTTTCCCAATCACGCCTCTCCAGGTCTCCTAGTCATTGTCAACATGAGCATTGAAGTCTCCCAGTAAGACTATGGAGTCTGTAGGCGGGACCCTTTCCAGAACCCTGCCCACTTGCTCCAAGAAGGCAGAATACTCCGACCTGTTGTTTGGTGCATAAGCACACACAACAGTCAGAGTTTTCCTCTCTGCGATTTTAATACGCATTGAGGCGACTCTCTCGTCCACCGGGACAAACTCCAACTGCACTGCCGCCAGCCGGGGACTCGTGAGTATCCCCACACCCGCCCGGCGCCTCTCACCTTGTGCAACCCCGGAGTAGGAGAGGGACCAACCCCTATCCAGGAGTTTGGTTCCAGAGCCGATACTGCGGGCGGAGGTGAGCCCAACTATATCTAGTTGGTACCTCTCAACCTCCCGCACAAGCTCCGGCTCCTTCCCCCCCAGTGAGGTTACATTCCACGTACCAAGAGCCAGTTTCTGCCGCAGGAGCCTAGGCTACCAAGGGCCCCCCTGCAATCTCCCACTGCCTGTACAGCACTGCACCACTCCCCCATGCTGTACCTTGCGGGTGGTGGGCCCACATGGTCCCCCCACGTTGCCTCTTCGGGCTGAGCCCGGCCGGGTTACGTGGGCTGCCCGGCCACCAGGCGCTCACCGAGGGACGCTACCCCCAGGCCTGGCTCCAGGGGTAGGTCCCGGTGACCCTCTCCCGGGCAGGGTTCACAATCTTCTGTGTCCGTTTTTCATGGAGGTTTTTGGATCGAGTTAGTCTGGGTCTTCACTCCAGACCTGTTCGCCCTGGGAGACCCTACCAGGAGCATGTTGCTCCCGACGACTTAGCTCTAAAGATCCCTAGACCACACAAGCCCTTCAGCCACGACAAGGCCCCAATCCAGGAAGGGTGGATGGCAGCATATGTTGCCAAAATATGTATATATCATTCAGCATTAATGGTGCTGTCACAGATGTGCACGTCACCCATGCCATGTGCACTAATGCACCCCATACCATCATGAATACTGGCTTTTGACCTGTGCACTGATAACAAGCTGAGTGGTCTTTAGCTCGGAGGACACAGTGTCCATGATTTCCAATAAGAATTTCAAATGTTGATTTGTCGCACCACAGGACACTTTTCCACTTCCCCTCAGTCCATTTTAAATGAGCTCGGGCCCAGAGAAGGCTGAATCCTGTTTACATGCTGTTTCTTCTTTGCGTTTTAGAGTTTTAACTTGCATTTGTGGATGCAGCGATGAACTGTGTTCGCAGACAGTGTTTTTCAGAAGTGTTTCTGAGCCCATGCAGTGATTTCCACTACAGAATCATATCTGTTTTTAATGCAGTGCTGCCTGAGGGCCCAAAGATCACGGCCAGCAAATACTGTTTTTCGGCCTTGTCCCTTACATACAGAGATTTCTCCGCACTAAGCCAACAAAGGCAAAACATTATGATCAGTAAATTAGCAAGAATTAAACAAACAGGTAACGTAAGTTAGTAAAGGACAGCCTTTCACTTTGATTTATTTAGATGTTGAAATCTTGCAGTCTTTTACAGAAAGAAGAGTCAGTGTTGTTCCACTCAGCATTGACGGCTTCAAACAGAGCAAGTTTGTGTTTAATGTGAGACCAAATATTCTCTATAGGGTTTATATCTGGATTCTGACCAGCCCAAAACCTTTATGAAAAATATGAGTATCTTAGGCTTGGCCCATTTTTTGGCATGGGAGTATAGATACAAATCAAAGAAATGACCAGGTGTAAACAGGGTCTGGGGGTTTAGGATGAGCTGATGGTGACACTAATGAATTACCTGCATTTGAACAGCTGAGAAGATCAAACATCAGCAACAAAAGAAGCATCACTGTAAATGGAAAACAATATTAGTTAGTGTTTATTACTGGTTAAGCTTAATAGGCGTTGTGATGTCTAACTATTAGATGACGGGCAGATGTGGGAGGTCCACTTACTCATTTCCATGAACTCCATGAAAACATTTGGACAGATTTGTACACTGCAAAGCAAAAAAGCGTCAGAAACTAACCATTAATGACTAAAATGGAACTAAGTAATCAGTAAATTACTTTCCCCACAAACATACTTGAATAGGAAAGTACTTTTTTTAGTTCCATTTTAGCCAATAATGTTTAGTTCACAATTAAATTTTTTTTGTTTGATGTCATTGTTACCTTGGTGATGGCATGTGCACTCATCTGGTCAAACATTTAAACCTCTATGATAGCGTTTCAGGACCATTGTTAATAAAAATAGTAGACTTCGAGAATAAAGTCGTAATATTTCGAGAAAAGCAGTCGTAATATTTAGAGAATAAAGTCGTAATATTTGGAGGATAAAGTGGGCTAACTGTCTCTCTGTGGATCATGTTGATCATCATTCTCACTGTCTGTGAAACTCCATTCCCTCTTTGAATGGGGGGGAGATGTAGCCCCCGATAGCCGTGTAGACAACCCTGCCTGAGATTCTCCTTCAACAACACAGACAGACAGTTTCCTCCGAGTCCGTCTGGCTCTTTATTCTAGATAAACACGGTTTCCTCCGAGTCCGTCCGGCTCTTTATTCTAGATAAACACGGTTTCCTCCGAGTCCGTCTGGCTCTTTATTCTAGATAAACACGGTTTCCTCCGAGTCCGTCCGGCTCTTTATTCTAGATAAACACGGTTTCCTCCGAGTCCGTCTGGCTCTTTACTCTAGATAAACACGGTTTCCTCCTAGTCCGTCCGGCTCTTTATTCTAGATAAACACGGTTTCCTCCGAGTCCGTCCGGCTCTTTATTCTAGATAAACACGGTTTCCTCCGAGTCCGTCTGGCTCTTTATTCTAGATAAACACGGTTTCCTCCGAGTCCGTCCGGCTCTTTACTCTAGATAAACACGGTTTCCTCCTAGTCCGTCCGGCTCTTTATTCTAGATAAACACGGTTTCCTCCGAGTCCGTCTGGCTCTTTATTCTAGATGAACACGGTTTCCTCCGAGTCCGAGTGCTCAGCCGTTTCAGCTGGTTCTTATACTAATAACAGGCTGGTGCTGATGTGCAGGAGAGACAGGGAGACTGAGTTTCTTTTTTTCCCTAAATATTGTGACTTTTTTCTCGAAATATTACGAAGTTTATTCTTGAAGTTTACTATTTTTATTTTTATTAACAGTGGCCCTAAAAACGCCGTCGTAAACCTCGGACCTTTCAGGTTCATTATTTTAATTCAAATCAAAATTATCTCAAAAGTGGAGAACAGAGCCTAACAAACTTCAGATCCTGTGCTGATAGATTCTGGATGTACTAAGAAGTTCCACTGCATCACAGCTGTAATGATACTTTTAACTGAGTACAGGTTTAGGCTACTTTACCCACCTCTGACTGTGTGACTCTAAAATATCTCGGCTGTTTCAGATTCATTATGGAATTCTGTATAAACTGATACAAGCTCTACAAAAACACCTTAAATATTCCAAATTCAGTCCTTCATTTTCATTCAAGCCAAGAAGTTGCTTAGCAGAATTCTGGCTAAACCAGTACTGTTTATTGCAGTTCTAAGCTGCATCCTTTAGATTCAATTTTCTTTCATGCTCATATGTGTTACATTGTGTTACTTTTTTATTTTTTAAATTTTAAGTCACAGCAACATTAATTGAAGCAAGAAGCCCTAATAAGTTGTGCATTACTGTGACTTTATCACAGGTTATGGGGTGTTCTTAAGCCCGACTTGTTGAGAAAAAACACCTTCCCTGAGGTAAATTCACTGTAAACTACAACCTCATATGGCTACTTGCTTTCATAAACCAGTGACAGCATAAAATATAAAAAAATACACACTTTTTAATTAATAATTTAAGTTGTAATTAATAATAACCCCAATAAACCATTCTTCTGCTAATAAATGTAGTTTTAAAAGGCTATTGTTGCCAAAAAATGGACTTTCAGTCCCCTATTATGGTATATTTCAGTCATTTCATGAATGTCTTTTGTCATATAATACTGCAGATATCATAATATAGCAGTGTTTAATGCTGAAACACTCGTCCACTGTAGTAACAGTGATAATGCCAGTTACCACTAGTGCCCCAATGCGATTTCCTGAGTTGTGTTAGCATCGAGCTAACGGTGCCACACATTCGTTTTTCCACACAGAGTCTAATAGCCTACTATTTCAGACAGATGTACCAAAAACATGAGCTTTTAAAGCCTGTTAGACATTCAGGTACCATTCTTTGGTTTCAATATTGCAGTTATACAGTGAATCATTTAGTAAATACTTCAGTTTAAAGTACTAGTAGAATTTTAAATCACAGTATTGTTAAGATTACTGACGGTTTCGGTATCACAGTATAGTGTATTTGTGTATGTATTTTTTTCAAATAAAACCATTTTGGATGCTTAAAGGCTAAACCTTTTTTTAGATTAACAAGTCCATATTATTCTGGATGTCTTTTCAATTTTAATAGGGATCATATTTCACAAGTGAAGTAAATCTAAAATGTTGTGGCGTCACTCTACGCCTGTTTTTAAAAACACTGATGCATTCTTTTCTAAAAGGTCCTAATGCTAGGCTTAGTTTAATTTAGTCCTTAGCAACCCCCATATGCGCTGCTGTAGTAGAACGCTTAATTCATAGGGTAGGGGCTATTCTTCCTTTATGGGGGTTGTTGACAGAAACTTCACGGAGCCTGGCTGTAAACAAAGAAGGGATAAGGGTAGGGTAGGCAGTCATTGTGGAGTAGTAGTGGCTAAGTAACGGCTTCCTTTGGAGTTAAAGTGAAACTACACCTATTTTTCCAAAACTCCGCATAATTAAATGGTTGGGATGTAAACAGAGTCATCCTGAGTGGTTTGGTGTGAAACGCTCTGTTCTAGAGAAACTTCAGTCAGAATTGTTCGCAGTGGTGGTGATAGGAACCAGACGTCCACCTCTAAAAGCTCCCTCACAGAAAGCTATTATATGACATGGTTAGATATGAGCTGCCTGATGTCTGACATGTTGTTTTATGAAAGTTTTGTGATAAAGTTTTGGCTTAAATTGTATTTTAATCCATTTATTTTAATCCATTCATGGTGGAGGGATACATGTAGAGCATTCTGAGGCAAAATAGTCCCCAAAGAAAAAGCACTTAATCAGATTTACCACCATTTTACCATCATCAACATTCCCTAGATTCCAAAGATAAACGGGTGGTTTACATAGTAAATAAATGTCTATATTTGTGTTGTAGTCATGGTGACCCCTGGTTCCTCACCACCACTGTAAAGACATCTGAGTCAGTAAGTTTCTCTACAGTGAAGCATTTCACATCAAACCACCCTGAAACTTCTGAAGTTTTGAGTAAAGCTACATTATGGACCAAGATCCTGACTCGCCCTAGTTTCTTGGAGAAAACCACATGTCACAATATATTTATTGGGGGAAATAGTAAAAACGGAAATTATAAATATGCAGACAAACACTAATATTGCCTTCTAAGCCTAACGAGATGAAGGTGAGTGCGCATAAAGACCACAGCACAGCAAGAACGGTACAAAGCTGAGCTTCTTCACCAGCTTCTTGCTCAAATTCTCGAAATTCAAAAAAGAAGCTGGCGAATAGGAAGCCAACTTCAGCCTCGTAAAAACAGTGCTGAATGTTGTTTTATGCCTGAAAGTCGTTTGTCTCATATGCGCATCTCTCACACTCAAGCTTTAATTTACGACCATCAGATGCTGCTGGAATTTAGTCAGTATTACAAGTCGTTCACACTATCAGTTTAGCTGAGAATCTGCTGAGCCTCTTTATACATCATGTTATTTGCATTTATGTGCATACCGGTATAACGGTAATGGCAAAACTAATAACGCAAGAAAAATTTCAAACCAGATGAACCGGTATATGGCCACTGCTAATTCAAAGCTTGAATTTTAATGAAGGTGTGGTTGAGCCTGGTTTATGTCTTTCAGTCTGTTTAAAATACTATATTTTATCCTCTCTGCTAAAAATACTTTTAAGCCCCTCAGTTCAGATTCTTACTTCATCTGTCAATACAGTTGGTGGTTGATGTTAGCAGCATAGCTAACGGTCCATTCACAGCACTATGGTGTGGTACATACAGTAAACACCATACTCCGATCTAGAAATCCGATTAAGAAATCTGATAGAGAGCTGGATTTTAGCTCAGTAATCAGATTTCTCAGTGCCATGAACTCTGATTTCTTTCATACTCAATCTGCGCATGCGGGAGAACAGCCAGCGGTACCAGAAATAAGCTAGACACAGCAAAACACTTTTGGAGTGACGATGAAACCAAACAGACGAAATGAAGGATTTAAATATTCTTAATTTTCTAGATGATTTATGTATGTATTTTGAATACTAAATACATACTAAAGTGGCACAGTGCACTTAAAAAAGCTGCAGTATGAAGTTTGAGTTTTACATTATGTCACGTCTTTTTCTGTGAGTTTATTGGCTGGTTGTAAACGCGGAGTTTCCTCAGTATCTGATTACTCAAGTGCATGTAAACGCGTTTATCGTATTATTGACAAAAGCTGATTTTCTGCAGTTATTGGATTATTAAGTGCATGTAAACACACTCACTAACGTGAACTGTTCAGGCAGTTTTATTAAGCATTAATCAGTTAACTGGCTAACTTAGCACACCATGAGGGTCTTAGGTTGACCTTATTTTGCAATGTTTGTCTTGTTTGTTTACAATTTCTCGGGCAGAAATTGTACTGGACAAAGCAGGTAATACTAATAATCTGTTAAATGGTAACACGTTAAAGAATTCAAAGATGATGCTGAACACTGCTTTTTTCTGAATTTAACTTAAATTTTAAGGCTTTTCATATCTGTTTAATCAAAAGAGTGGCCTTAATATCGGCCCTGACAGTATACACTCATTGAGCACTTTTTTAGGAACACCTCCTTGTTTCTACGCTCACTGTCCATTTTATCAGCTCCACTTACTATATAGGTGCACTTTGTAGTTCTACAGTTACAGACTGTAGTCCGTCTGTTTCTCTGCATACTTTGTTAGCCCCCTTTTACCCTGTTCTTCAGTGGTCAGGACGGCCATGGACCCTCACAGAGCAGGTACTATTTGGGTGGTGGATCATTCTCAGCACTGTTTTTTAAACACTGTGTCCACTCACTGTCCACTCTATTAGACACTCCTACCTTGTCAGTCCACCTTGTAGATGTAAAGTCAGAGACGATAGCTCATCTGCTGCTGCACAGTTTGTGTTGGTCATCCTTTAGTCCTTCATCAGTGGTCACAGGACGCTGCCCACAGGATGCTGTCGGCTGGACATTTTTGGTTGGTGGACTATTCTCAGTCCAGCAGTGACACTGAGGTGTTTAAAAATTCCAGCAGCACTGCTGTGTCTGATCCACTCAGACCAGCGCAACACACACTAACACACCACCACCACGTCAGTGTTACTGCAGTGCTGAGAATGATCCACCACCCAAATAGTACCTGCTCTGTGAGGGTC